GTACAGTCCTCCTGCTTTTCTCTGTATTTGTGGTATCTGTGATTGCGGCGTAGAGGTAGTTTGCCCTTGCACTGCGCTTGGCTCTGTCAAGGCTACTTAGCAGCAACAACAACAACAACATCAACAACAACAATAGGGTTCCAAAGTTGTATTGTACATGTGCATCCATTTCCATGGACCCAACTATTTCAGCTGGAAATATACATCATGAAGTGTGCTGCTATTGCACAACAGATATTTTTTGACATCATAGTTTAAATATTTTTGAAACAAAAGTATAGCATACAGATTCTAAATAAATGCACTGATATAAAAAGAGGTGTCAATCCAATGCTACATCAGTGGCAAGAATAACAGAGGGATTGATCTGTATGTTTCTAGATGAGTTAAAACCTTCATGAGCTGCAGACTGGGAGAAATTATATCACCCGTTATGTTTGAGGTAATTGGGGTGTTGCTTATATGTACTGTATTTTTGTGTGTGCGCGCCCATGTGTGTATAAGAGAGAGTACTGTGTGTGTGTGGGACTGTGTGTGGATGCATGAGTGTAAATAATGTAAATATCAAAGCTGATATTGGTGAACTTCTGGGTTATATGTGTAAAAGCTCCTTGATGGACTCATGTGTCTCCTGCTTTGTCCAAGCGATAGGTCCATCTACCTGTATCTCTGTTGTACATCTCTGTGTGTCCTCGGCTTTAAGCCCCTGTTCACCTGCTACTCTGTGTGTGTGTGTGTGTGTGTGTGTGTGTGTGTGTGTGTGTGCTCAAACTTGCATGTATGTAAGAAAACTTCTGTTCTTTTGTGCTCAACTTTGTGTTCTTACTGTAAATTCTTCTGGCAGAAAATGATGGCAATATTATGATTTTTTTGTTGAGGAAAAATGTGAATGTATCACTCTTGTAAGTTCTGTTGATCCATTTTATGGAGGTAATCAAATTATGTGGAGAATAAAGTCAGTGTATGTTATCGTGAAGGGTCTGCCAGTCATAGGATGACTGAGCTGTATGTTCAGAGGTCTGTAAGAGTGAAAATATGTGAAGAAATATGATGGATAATGTTAGAAACTGGAAAGGCAGGGATTGCAGACTGTGCTGCTTTTGAACATATACATAATAAAAGCTATGTTCTCTAGCAAATGATGCTGGGTTTTTTATTTCACAATGCTTATACAAAACAGCCTGTCAATAAATCCTATATTTATGAGGGTTATAATACTCAGGGGTTTTTTGAACGGTGATATTGAGCTATTGACTCAACTTTGATAATTCTGGAGGCTGTAGTTTGTGCTGCTACTGAATTGTGTAATTGTTCTAATAGTTAGTTTACCTAAGCATAAATAAAGTAGACAAAATACTGGAAACACTTCTTAGTATATAGGTGGTTGAGTGAGTGTGCATGCAAAGAAAGACATGCAGCTGTGTTCCCTGATTGCTCAATTCATAAACTCAAACTAATGCTGCCATCTAGTGGTTGAATTTGGGTACTAAAATTATTTACCATCTAAAAGGAATTCTCTTTTTAAAAACAAGGACACTTGAAGACAAGTGTATTTTTATAGCACCTTTCAAGTGTATCATTCTTTTGTAGCCCCATACATTACCTACCGTGTGGAGGTTTGGTAAAATACGCATAAAATGATCACAAAATCCAATGATTATGCTACAAAAAAGAGCTGTACGAACTGTAAACAGAGCTGGTTATCATGAATCAACTAACAAAGTTATTAGAACAAACTCAAAACAAAGATGTATAATTACCTGATGTATATTAGAAATATTGTGTGGAATAGTTAAAAAAAAACCTCAATAGCTGTATGAATAACAAATACAAAAACCAAACTCCAGTGCGTATGGGACTTTGGCATATATATAATATATACATGAATCTAATTTTTTAAATTTAGTACAAGTACAAAAGTAGAAGGGCTGGGTGCAATAAGCTTAGGCTTCAGCCTACATCTTTTCAGTCAGCAAAACTTGCTTTGATTTGTCACTGCTTCAAAAGTAATGACTTGTTTTTGTTATGTATAATAATAATAATAATGATGTTGATAGTAACTACACAGTTTTTGGCTTATGCGCCAGGCAAACAACCCAATTGGAATGAATATGCAGAATCTTGGCGTTCAGTATCTAGGTATTATTATAAATCTGTGGCTCCAGCAATCAGAGTGGTTATTTACAAACACACACAAAATCATCATACAATATGAAACCAAACTGCTGGTCAGTGTTTATGATGTCATTCATGTAATGTGTGGCATGGGTTGTATGGGTTCTGGGGCATCTTTTGGTGGTTTTTCATCATTAATTAATTAATTAATTAATTAATTAATTATCACCCCCCACTTTGATACAATTTGTGCTCTGCTCACTGAGCAGTATAGATTTGATATTGTACATTCAGAAATGTTGAACCTGTATGCTATACCTCTGTTACTGAGCCCCAATCTCAGTTTCATACGCACCAACAATAAATGATCTTCCAGCAAGTACCCATATTCAAGTACCCACGTTCAGCAGTAAGGTGGTCATACTTCTGACTGAGGCTGTTGTATGCTGGTTGTGGGACCCTGGGCTCAGCTTCTTCCACTGGGTCCTCCGACAGACAGACAGATACCTATGGCACCACAGTGACCCCTACAGGACAAATTAGCATCCCACATACATTTTACACCAGGGATGGCTCCTAGAATAAGAATAAGAATAAGAATAAGAATAAGAATTAATGCAAGCAATAATATTAGTGATAATAATAATAATAATAATAATAATCATTAGTATTAGTAGTGATAGTATTAGTATTAGTAGTTTTATATATTATATTATATTTTTCTACATTTTTATTTTATAGTACTACTACAACTACTATGTATAGTAATAATAATTATTATTATTAATAAATAAAAATGTAAAAAATAAATGTATAATACTAATAATACTAATACCAATACTAATTATTATTATTAGTAGTATTAATATTATAAGTATGATAAATTTATTTTCTACGTTTTTATTTTATACTACTACTACTACTACTACTAATAATAATAATAATAATAAATAAAAATGTATAATAATGCTAATACCAACTATTAACTCAGTAGTATTAGTATTATACATTTATTGTCGACATTTCTATTTCATACTACTACTAATACTTATAGTAATAACAATAATAACAATTATAATAATATTAGTAATAACAAATATTATTATTGGTAGTAGTAGTAGTAGCATTATTGTTGTAATATTTAGTTAGTTGTGTATTTATTTATTCTTGTGTGTATTTGAGTTGAGTAAGTTGAAAAAAAAAAACAGGGCAGTTCAAAGTGCTCTACGTGAGATATAAAGGCGCGGGGACAAGATGTAAAAGTAACACAGGGCAGTATAAAAATACATAATGTAAATAATATCTATAAAGACAAAACTGAGGATGTAAATAAGCCTATATTGAATAAAACAGGCAGAAAAGATGAATAAAGTTGCAGCTCAGCTACTTAGTGGTGTACTCGCGGTGTGACATCCATTTTCCCCAGTGGCAGTAAATGCAGCATGAGCCACCTTTCGACCAGCAGGTGGTGCAAGGTGCTAAATCTCCATCTCCTGTCCCGTCAATCATGTCACTTCATAGCGTGGTGGGGGCAAGATAACACACACACACATACACACACTCTTAGCTCAGGAGTCGAGCCAAAGAAGTGCACACACTATGGGGATTTTCTGTCGCAAGTGACAGTCGGCGCTTTCATGAAACTTTTGAACACAGCCGTGCCGTAGTTCCGACATTTTTATTTTAGCCTCACCGGTTGTTTTATTCATATCAATATATCCTGAGAGGCGCGGCGGCGTATCGCTGGCTGGCTGCTGTAACGTTAGCGTGAAGGGTGAAGTTTCTTTTTCAGTTCAGACGAGTTCACAAGTGGAGGAAACGACGCAAGATGTACCATGAAGAAACCGCCGCTCTACTACAGAAGCCACGTTATGGAAGTGAGTAACAGTTTCTAACGGTTTCCATCTGTGTGAAGCTCTAACAGCCTTAACTCATGAGGGACACAAGCTAACGTAGGGTGCCATCACATCTCAGACATGTTTGATGAGCAACAGGTGGTTCAGCAGCACCTGGCACCTGTAGTAGGTGTGTCAGACAGACCCTGAACATGGCAACATATAATGTGGGCTGAGAAGGAGAGTGGGCACACTGTCACTGACAGAGGTTTTCAGGTGAAGGACTCACATCCTGGTTCTTCAAATAGAGCTCTAACATTGCTAAGTTTAGGATCCAGGCTGTCTGCCTGACTCAGGCCTGTTTTCAGCTGTACTTTTCCCTCAAAGTGCCCCACATTGCACCACAGTGATTCTTATCTATTTATTTAATGGCGGTAGCCAGCATATCAGCCTGTCCACACACATGAGGCTTTTTCTCATAGGTTAATCATTAACTTTGGATTTTGCTGCTGTTGAAAATAACTAACCCCATGAGTATGTCAAAAATGCTTTAACTGAGCTGACTGACATGAAGACCCATCTAAAGTCAGTTAACAGCATGCATCTTGTCTGTGGGCAAAGTGCAACTTTGGGAGATAACACCAATCACTGATGTCATCAATGCAATCTTTTTGCCTCTGACTTGGCCCATTGAATTATATCACCCAACTGTCTTGTTTTGAATATAGGCCACTCTGTCTTATGGTGTTTTTTAAGATGCACAGTGGCAAAACAACCATCTATGGAGGTGTATCTCTAGAAAATGAGCATAAATAATGAGCAGTTTGTTGCATTTACTGGCCTTGTCATTATGTGGAACAGCCCAAGGTATCATTGCTCCTGCAAGCGAAGTCATTCCCTGGGAATAATTTCAATAAATGT